AACATAGGCACGCAAGCAGCCGGCAGTCAGTCGCACTTTAAAATAAATCAAACCCGCTATAAAAAATAACCTAAAGTCTTCTCAGCGGCGCTGTCCACGCTCTTCAACCTGCTTCGTCTTCTTCACCGCGCCTCTGTCCTCGTTTCCTTTTTCACAGTTAAACTTCCTGCTGCGGTCCGAGGAGAAGAAGAAGAAACAGCTCGAGCACGTCTGAGCTCCTGTAGGTCTGTTAAAAAAGGAATCCACTCCTTCAGTCGCTCTCAGGTCAAAGGTCAGGGCGAGCTCGTTAGTGGAACTCGTTCACTGAAGTAAAACTCAGTCTCTTATAAACTAACGAGCGTGGCACGACACCCGCAGAGCAGCCACAAGGCTTTTACTTTGAAAGGATCTCCCTTTTTTTGTTTCACCGTTCCCCCTCAGCAGGAACGCCTGCAGTTCTTCTTCTTTCTTTTAAGTCCGCTGCCTCCCGTTTCCTGTCCATCAGTGGGCGAAATCTGAGCCAGGGGGGCCCAGTTTGTGCCAGCCCACCCAGTGCTGACCTGGGACCAGCCTCTTCAGGGGGATGAAGGTCTCTCCCAGCAGCGTGTTCTCCCAGAAGGCGCCGTCTCCCAGGACCCGAAGGTGGATCACCCTCTGGTCCAGGTCCCCCCGTGGGATCCGCTCGTACACCAGCTGGGGACACAAAGGGAGGCAAAAGTGATGTTGCTATGGAAACAGCAAAGTTAGTCATATCAACATCTAAGAGTTGAACCACAGTGACATCCGCGATTCTTTAATAATAATAATAATAATAATAATACATTTTATTTGAGGGCGCCTTTCAGAAACCCAAGGTCACCTGACAAAAAACACAATTAATAAAAGGAACAATAGTCATAAAATACATAAAATAAGTTAAAATTACAAAACAGAGCGTGACAACAGATAAAATCAGCATCAAAGCGAATAAGCCAGTTTAAACAGATGTGTTTTGAGCTGTGTCTTAAATACAGAGAGGGAGTCAATATTTCTTAGTGCAGGAGGAAGAGAGCTCCAGAGCCGAGGAGCAGAGCGACTGAAAGCTCTGCTCCCCACAGTGATAAGGTGTGATGATGGAACAGTAAGATGAATAGCAGATGATGATCTGAGAGTGCGGGAAACAGTGGTGATATGGAGCAGGTCACACAAATATGAAGGAGCAGATTTATGGATGCACTTGTATGCAAGAAGTAAGATTTTTAAATTTATCCTGGCTTCTATGGGCAACCAGTGAAGCTGCTGAAGAACTGGGGTAATATGAGCACCTAACGGAGTACAAGTTATGACCCGAGCTTCAGAATTTTGAAGAAGTTGGAGTTTATGAAGGGCCTTTTAGGGAGACCAAATAGGAGGGAATTACAGTAATCAATACGGGATGTAATAAGACTATGGACAAGGATGGCAGCAGCATGGGGAGTAAGGAAGGGACGGAGTCGGTGAATATTACGTAAATGGAAGTAAGCAGACCGTGTTATGTAATTAATGTGAGACTGGAATAAAAGAGTATTATTTACACCAGAGATGCAGAACAATCCAAATACCGACAGGTTAACACCAACACTGCTATGAGAGCGACACTGTTTCTATCCTCCAGCATGCAGCTCACTGCTGCATTATCATTACTTTCTGCACAGCTGGGCCAGTATTTACTTAGCACATCGATAGCAGTATCTCACAGCACTTCCAGACGCTGTGAGCGGATCGTACCATCTCATTGTAGGTCGGGTTGCACGTGCGTCGCGCCGCCTTCGTTTTCCTCTTGCTCATCTTCTGAGGGTCGGGGAGGAGATAGAGCTTCACGTAGGGGTCGGGGTCAGTCCCATCCTGCAGGGGCTGCTACACACCCACAGGCATCAGTGTCAGTCCCAGAGAGAAAAAACAAAAACAATCAGAAGCCCCAAATACCAGGACAGGACTTAGACCCACTGATCAATATAAAAATATTAATTAAAAAACATGAAAAAAATCCTTAAAATTATATAAATACATTTATTAAAATATTAACAATGATCATAAATAAATAAAAAGTGTTTATTCCGAGGAACCCTGGGGACATTGAGACCGACTGGACCATAGTCAGCACCTCCATTGCTGAGGCGGCCGTTCATGGGTGTAACCCCCAAACCAGCAAGTGGACACCGGAGGTGAATACTCAGACGGCCATGTCCATCTGAGTATTCTGTGGGTTGGGCTTTGGGAGTATGGGGAGTCTTCATCAGGTAACAGCCTCCAGCTCACACTGGAGCAGTTCACAGCCGAGTGTGAAGCAGCGGGAATGAGGATCAGCATCTTCAAATCTGAGGCCATGGTTCTCAGCCGGAAAAGGGTGGAGTGCCCACTCCGGGTCGGGGATGAGTTCCTGCCCCAAGTGGAGGAGTTCAAGTATCTCGGGGTCTTGTTCACGAGTGATGGGAGAAGGGAGCGGGAGATCGACAGACAGAGTGGTGTGGACGCTGCACCGGTCTGTTGTGGTGAAGAGAGAGCTGAGTGTAAAAGCGAAGCTCTCATTTTACTGGTCGATCTACGCCCCTCCCCTCACCTATGGTCACGAGCTGTGGGTAGTGACCGAAAGAACGAGATCGCGAATACAAGCGGCGGAAATGAGCTTCCTCCGAAGGGTGTCTGGCCTCTCCCTTAGAGATAGGGTGAGATTTCAGCCATCCGGGAGGGGCTCAGAGTAGAGCCGCTGCTGCTCCAAGCATACATAATTTTAAAAAAAGTATATACACAACAGAAACTAGAGTAGTCATAATAATAAAGAAATATATACAAAAATGTAATAAAAACAAATAGAAATAAAGCTATAAATGAATCTAATAATAACACGACACACTGACCAGGCCTCGGATGTGTATCACCATGATGAAGAGTTTTTCATTCTTGTAGGAGATGGACAGTTTGACCTCGCCGAGCTCTTTTCCTGAACCTGGAGACCACGAGATCTCTGCGAACACACGCACACTTTCAATGTTAGTCTTCAATGAACATGTCTGATATTTGGCTGTTTCTAACACTTTCAGTCGCAGGCTGAGTTTAAGAAGTACTTAATTCTGATAAACAAAGATATTTCATCTTCTGACTTAAGTTTGAATATTACAGATTTATTTCATAACCTCTGCTGGACATCAGAGGAACTGCAGCGTCTGAGTATTAAAGGAACAGACTGCTGTTTACCTCAGCTGTCAAAGCCGGGTGAGAAGCATCTTTATTTACTGTGGAGGAGGCTGTAAAACTTTGAAAGGAAGCTTCTGATTGATGAACGCCTTACTGAGGTGAACTGTTGAGGATATGCTGAACTTTCCTATCAGTAACTCTGCTGTTAGCCT